TAAAATAAATTGATATTTTTCTTGTATATATCAAATAAATCATATGAATCCTAAGGATTTATTTCGTTTTATCATGCCGCGAAGTTTTATATCTTTAATCATATAAGAAAAATAGTATAAACATATTTGTTTGTCGTGTCTTAGTACACATTTTTCGCGTTCCTCAAAAGTTTCTAATTGGTTTGTTAGTTTGTAACACAAAAAAAAAAATCAGTCAAATGAAATCAACAAAATAACTTAGCGAAATAAACTTACTAACTTTCAAATAATACGATAATAGTATTGTTTTCTTTGTCCGTACATGAAATGCATTGTTAAATTGAACTCACGAAGAAGTCTCCAAGTGTTGTTCTGAGATTTCAACGAAAACTATATGAATTTGTCAAGTCAAGTATTATTATTTCAAATATAGAAAAATTAGCTGCTGAGTTTAATCTGATACCCATTTATAGATGGACTCAGTTTTTTGCTACTGACTTCAAATAGGTTATTAGTTTTGTATCATATTGTATTTTTCTGACTGAAATCACTTGAATAATAGTCAAAATGGTGCAAAATCATTTCTTGAGAATAGTCTTCCAGATAGTTCATAAGTAACTATTTTTTTCGGAGTTTGAAAAACGTACGGTTCTGTAGCGTTAGCACAATAGAATTTTCATCTAACGTACCATTGATCGTTAATGAAATGAAACAAACGAAGATATCGATAAAATTTTTGTTCTTGCTGTGAAAAGATATCAGAAAGATATTTTTCATACACACCCACACACTCTCTATATTCCAAGAGATTATAATGTATTGCAGAAAGAATGTTTCTATGTTTTTATAAAGATTGATTTAATAAGTTAAACAAAATATTTTATGAAAGTGTATTATTAAAAAATGGTAAAATATATTTCATAATAAAATCTTTATTAGGTGCATGTGTAACATCTTGATGACGTACATGAGAAATAAAAGTAAATAATTTTCCTTGTTCCCATAATGTTCTTAATCCAATAAGATCTTCTTTAAATTGTCTTGAATTATTCCATATTTCAATATCAAATGAATTTGATTGATAACCCATAAATAAACCTGATTCTTTTGGCTGGACTACTTCATCAATATCAGAATAAGTCATAACAAATGCATTTAAATTAATCATATTTTGACGATATATTTGATTTACTATTCCACGTTCATTATTTATATCTGGAAGAAAATGACAATCAGATATATATCTATTTAATTGATAAGGATCACGCCAATAATTTGCTGCACTAATTGCATTTTGTACTGGATTTTCATATGCATATTTGGTAATTAAGTCACGAAATTCTTCAGGAAGTTGTAAAAGATAGGGTATACCAAAAATTCCTTGATGTATACCACTTAATGTTATTAAATTATAAACAGGTAATGAACATCTTTCAATTGCACCACGTACAATAATACTTCCTTGAGAATATCCAACTATATTAAAACCTTGACGAAGATGTTCATCACTATTAACAATATCACAAAATTGTTCAACTTGTTTATCAATTGGCAATAAAAATGAATCTTCTTTACCATTACCGATTTCAACTGATATCACATAAATATCAGAAAAAGATGTTCGAATCCAACCAGCTAATTCTTCCATACCAGCAGCTGTTGATGATATACCATGCATTAGAACAACTGGTCGATATATTGAACTTGATGTAACAGTTGAAATCAACACAACAAAAACAAGGCCAATCATTTTTATTCAAGTAAAACAATTGATTTTTCTTTGGCTTTTATTCAAAAGAGATAGCCTACAAACATCTGGTAGTTCCCATTACATTCTAGTTCGACTATTTGGTCTAAAACAATATTATCTATTGTTTTATTGAAGAAAAAAAAAAACATTTTCAAGATAAATTATATCGCAGATTTTTATCAATTGAAATAAAAACATGAAGGTGTGGGTGCATCTTCAAATATGTATTTCTAATATTAATGAACATTTGAATTAATTCTGTTAAGTTTAGAATTTCTATCATATTTATAATGAAGTAACACAAAAAAATCTAAAAATTTAATTTGTTGATGATCATTTCATTTTTTATTTTTAAGAATTAAATACGATTCGCAAACATGAAACTGTTCAAATGACAACAAATGTTATTCCGCAGTAACTTATTTCGATTATTGACAAATTCAATCATAACACACATTATAATTGTATTAATACTATATTAACAATCAAAATTAACTACGTAGTTTTCGACATTTTATTATGCTGTGTAGATGAAAAGAAGAAAAACATAGAGACCCATACTCTAACATGAGATTTATTGTGATTAATTCTAGACTCGACAGAAAACGTGCCTTGAGTTTACGAAATGTACTTCAGTAATTAGTACAGTATGTTCTATCGCTTTGTGTGTCTTCATGATTCGTATAATTGTCTTATAGATTTCATGACAACGATCAATGACGATTTTATTCCTACTCCTGAACGCTTCCACTTTTCTTGAAAGTTGAAGTCACTTTTACAGAGTAACTTTTTGGTGAAAACGAATCATTGACATGAAATCGATCATTCAATTGACTATTACTTCTTTTAGACCCTTTAAGAAGTATTAGCTCTGTCATTTTATTCATGATTAACTGTAATAAAGTACGCTGAATATGTTGTTTATTGATATCCATGTCTTGATTAATCTCCTTGAATAATAAATAATGTAATTATTCATGTCAAATAGTATTGCATATTTGTGAATACTGAATTGTCATTTTTCAAATATTTCATCAGTGAAGTAAAATAATAGATGAAGTTTATTTCAGTTTCTGTTATTTTTAGTGAAGACTAGCCTCAAATGACCACGACTCTTTTCGTGAAATAAAATTAAGATGATCATTTGATAAGTCAACACTTGTATTAAATACTTTCGTTCGTTGACCTTTGTTTTTTATCAGGGATTGTGATTTTCCATTTTCATTATCGTTTCTGGATTTATTACAAAATATTGAAGCTAAATCTGCTGTACCCAAACGTGGCTCTCAGAGCATTGATTATTCCTATTCGGAAGTGATCAAAAGTCTTTTGTTAAAACCTACATAGAATGATTAATGCCATGGAAATCGAATAAATTCTTAGCAAGTGAACGTTGAAATTTGTTCATTGTTGTTTTCGATATCAACATATCTTTGATTATGCTTTTGCAGTTCTTGCATGAACTGACGGTCACCATTGGTTCTCAGTCGTAATATCATATTGTTTTCTATACTATTTAATATCGATTGTTTTGAGAAGAGATGCCGAGGAAAGTGTTTTCGGTAATATTGTTCAAAAATATCTTTCTCTCTCAAATAATTAACTAATATCATTATTTTATCAAGTAATAGTATTGTTCATCAGTTTCTGGAATGTTTCTTTGAAATCTTGATAGTATTGTTCAAAAAGGTGTTTCTCTTTTAAACAATCTAAGAGTATCATTACTTTAAGGAGCACGGTTTTGATTTAAATTAATGTCACTTTCGAAATTAAATTTCATTCGTTGTTCTAATGATTTATCGTCAACAAGTAAAATTTGACGAATAATCTCGAATATGTCTTTGAATTCAAATAAATTTTGAACAAAATGAATGTAATTGATTTTTTCGTCTCCATTTTCGATTGTAAATTCTTTTCTCCAACATTACCAGATTGTCATATCTCTTCGATTTGATCATATGAGCTACACTTGAATTTTTCATTTGTGCAATATTCTTCGCAAGTTTACGAGTTCATTCTCCTTCAATCACTTGAACAATACGATTTTCGGTTGATTTATATAAAGATGACGAATGGTACGTTGAGATTCTTCATTAATACGTGCAGAATTCTTATGAATATATTCGGATGTATTGTTTTCGGCGAGTAATTTCTCGCTTTCTTGTTGATAGATTTCAGTTGAATGTTGTCAAAACAGTATTTCAAAAGATTTGGCATGGTCAAAAAGACTATCAATACCTACAATCATGAACATCTCACGCATATCAATTATAATCATCTTATCTATGATTTCACCACACCATTCCTGCTCAACTATTATCAGTACAGTGTTCCTAAGAAATTCTTAAATGGCTGAATATTGAACAGTGGTTTTATGAAACAGAACAACACTCTTGTTGTATATAGGCTCAAGTTTTTGTGCTATAACATAGGTTCGATCCATGTACATTAAAATATCACAAATATTAGCAATGGGTTTACGATAATCATTCTATACAGATGTGAGAATAACAAAGTACTGCGTCACATACGATTCTAATAGCAGTTGTCTCATCTAAGAGGAAGTTAATTAAAAGATGAGAGTGTGGGTGTTGGTGTAGGTGTGAATGTGGGGCGGGGATGGGTGTGGATAGTTGTGTAGGCTTCAATTGTACGAATCCACACCCCACATTGTCACTCACACTCACACCCACCCAGTGGCCGCGCGAAGGATCAAATATTGGGGGAGGGGGGGGGGGGGGGGGGGTATCTCGAATTGGGGGTGTAAAGGGGTTTTTCCAAGAAAATCTTGCAGAAAAAGCATAAAATGTAGACAAAATCTGAGTTTTTTGCTGGAAAAAACTGAAAAATTTTGATTATTGGGGGGGTGTACACTCCCCACACACCTCCACTTTCGCGGCTCATGCACCAACCCACATCCGCACCCACCCACATCCACACCCTCCCACACCATCGAGGCAACCCCTAACTATCATGTTATCTTCCAATCATCTACTTTTCTACACTTGGCGTGATCATCGCTGTTTACACTATTACTCAACGTCTGATGTGGCTATCACTCTTTCTTCTATTGTTCAACACGTCTGGTGTGATCATCATCCTTTGTGTTATTGTTTAGCATATGACACTATCCTATAAATACACATGCTTTTTCATTTCTTTGCAATAAACTGTATAAGCAGTGCTACCAAGTCGAGGTCAAATACTCAATAAATAAATATTTAAACATTATCTTTTACTTATTACCCGTTTTTCAGATTCATCATACGAAATGTCATCAACAACACCCGATAATATTATTCTTAGTAGTGAACCATCTTTCGATATAATTGAGCAATTTTCTAAATTATCAATCACATTGCCAATTCATCAGCAAAAAATTCAACTTAAATTAGATCCTCATTGTAACGAAGATGCCGACATTATACAAAATTGTTTGCCATTACATATTGGTTTGTCATTAGTTGAATATATACTTCAAGAATGTCCACAATGTGCTTTTTGGCTAAAAGATCATTTTTTACCATCGAACCATATTCTATTTACAAACGAAGTGGTAAATTTTCTTTTTGTTTTACTTTCGTTCGTAGATGATTTTATTTTTTAATTGTTATTGTAGCAGCTATCCGAGGATCAGATCCACGAAATTCTTAATATAGTACGTGAATCAAGTAAATGGCCTCAAATTATTTTCAAAGATAATAAACAGATTAGATCAATGCTTCATATAAGAGAATCTCTAACTAATACGGTATATGGTTTATATATAGTTGGAGAAGATGAAGATAATCACATCTATATGAACTCACAAGTAAGTAGAGCTCTGTTAGTTTTGATCAATTCTTCTCTTTTTTTATTCAAAATCATACTACATTTTTTTCCTTTCTAAGGTTTATTGCTCTTGTTTTTGTTTAAACTAAATAGACACATACACCTTAAATAAAGGAAGATGATTAATAATAGGAGCTAACCACGAAAAGGCAGATTTAAATTTGTTTCATATTTAATAGTAAGTTATTGGATCTAAGATTTATAATGAATAACTTCGAGTGACGACTCATCTAATTTTCCATATAGTACATCTGTGCATCAGTAAACACGTTTATTTATCGACAAAGTATCTGTTGGAGAAGAAGAAGAATGAGCAAGAATGTTGGCATTATTGTTTTTCTTAATTTTCTATCAACTTGAAATAGAAAAGAATCAATGTAATCGAAATCCGCTTCTTCGGATTATATACACCCTATATATACATTTGTCTAGTACAACACTGAGACCTTGAATGAGTGTGTGTAATCTGAAGTCGTCATAATCCATAGGAAATTCGAAGCAGCCATAAAAATCGAAAACATTGTTTTTTGCAATTGTTTTGATAGACTTTCTTCTCTATATGTATATCAATCGTATTCATTCAACAACCAGTTTTTACTTCAAGACCTAAGAGTGCCTCTCTCGTTATCGAAATTTCCGAAGAACGGTTCCTCGGAAAATTTTTAGGAAAGATAGATCTTAATGAGTAGAGCAAAACCTCTCATAGGCTCAAAGTTCCTAGATGCTGTATTCTATGAGATACTAGGGGAGAGAGGTCACAATTACTTCAATTTTCGCCTTTACACTTCCCTGTTTTTTCAAGGTACTACGTTCGATCGAGCTGAAACTTTTTTTGGAAGGTATCAAAAAAGCCGCATGTCTTTTTGAATGGAGCTTTTCTTGTAAGACCTACCAAAACTCAGCAGAACAGTATTTTACGAAGCAGAAGAATATAACTACCCCAAACAATGCTTAGTATATATGAAAAAATTTTCAGCTCGATCGGACTTAATACGCTGGAGGAACAAGGGCGTTTCTGCACTTTTTTTCATGAAAAAATTGTTTTGCGGAAATTCGAAACGGTGTACAGTTGTCGTTATTTTCGTAATGTAAGTTTGATTTCTTCTCTATCTTTTTAAAATTTAAAGACAATTTTCGCGTCTCAAAATGTAGTCGATAGATAGATACTAATTGAGAGTATACAATGGTCACCGAAATCAACAGCACTTTTGAGATACTTAAGTGAATAGTTTTCTATAGCAAAATATTCTGTGACGTTCACTTCGCTTTTTTTTCCATATTTCATTTCAAAGAATTTTTTTGGAAAGAAACCAATAAGAATTATGGTTAGGACTAGTGAGGATAGTAGTGTAGTTTTATTTCTTTCTGAGTACTGGATTCAATCCCATATGAGTGTAAATCGAGTAACAGTTTTGGAATGAAATTTTTTTAAAGTTTTATTTTATCTTCCAAACAGTAAAACATAAACCATAGTGAAGAAAGAATAGGTGACACTTCACAATTTAGAATAGATGAGAACCTCAATACTGAAGTTATCTCTTTCTGATTGTTTTAAATAATCTTTTCACTTTTTCGAAGACAAAATAAAGCATTAAAAAAATTCCATTCGAAAGCTGTTACTCGAAATTAATTCAAAAAAATCGGGAAACAGTCTAATATTGTTTAGCCACTCATAGAGTAGATTTTTTACTGTTATATTTTTTCTCAAATAACTTGTTTTTCTGTCTCAAGAGGGAAAAAATACATTTAACAAAAGACAAAAAATATGTAACAGTAAAAAATCTACTCTATAACTGGCTAAACAATATTAGATTGTTTTCGGCTTGATTTCAAAAATTCGGAGCACGATCTAATATCGTTTTTACTAGTCCTAGATCAGCTACCTATCGAATGAAAAAATAAGAAAAAAATTGTTTTCATTTGTACTGTGAGATTATGTCATGTTGTTGATGTACGGCTACCATGGTGCAATGAGGGATATTGTAATCAAAATCCGTTCCGTTTCAATTCGTTTTTATCCTCAGTCTTGAAAGTAAAACTGTTATTGACGCGTGAAATTAAGATTGAAACGATTAGAGAAGGTATTGACACGTATTGCGAGCAAAATTAGGAGAAAGACGCATTTTTACCCTCTTTTCGGCGTTTCTTGTTTTGCCTGGACTTCCTTTATACCTGAAAACTGTATAGCGATTAGTTATGATTTAATCCTTATTTTTTTATTATAGCTTATTCGTGAAGCTATGAAGGCGCCAACACATCTACAAGCCAGTTATTCAATAATGATTGGTATCAAATATTTACATGCATTTGCACATTTCGTATATGCAAAATATGGGCGCTTACATTTACGTAACTCTTTTGGTATTCCATTTGAAGCAAGTACCCGTACTCCAATTGGTATTTTACGTGGTGAAAGCGGTAATCGTTTTGAAGAGCAAATGCTTGGATTTGTACTTTCACATGCTGGTCACTCAAATATACCTATGGATGTAAGTGATGTATATCTTTTATATTCCATCGACTCTTGTACTAATGATAGAAAGAAACGAAAATAAGAACAGAATGTGTCCTTTTCAAATGTCTCTCTGTCTGTATATATATGTTCCCAAGCTAGTTCTAATCTTTACATTAATAATTAGATCAAGTTTTCGGTAGTTGAATTGTAAAAGAATTCTATTTGATTTTAGATTGATGGGTAGATTTTAATCAACCAAAAAATAATAGAATAGTTTATCATAATAGATTATTTCAGCTGTTGCTTCGTTCTTATATGTTGACAATAATTTTGGTGTGCATTTGAAATATATTATATATTGATTTTGTTTAAAAAAAGCATGTTAATAGCAATTGCCTTTTTATTGATCCTTTTTACCTTTGTTTCATTGTCGAAGACGATTTTTGTTCAATCTTCCTTGTGAAAGTCTCTCGATAGGTAATATATTTGAAAAAAAAATAATATTGAAAACATATATCTAGAGACTGAAAAATGGATTGTTTCATAGTTAGACACTATCACCAGTTATCATTTTCATTCTAAGAGTTTTTGTCTATGACAATCGCTCTTTGATAATGGACAAAAGTGAATCGAGCGTTTTCAACGTTTTTACGTTGAATTTTTCTCAGTCACTTGAAGACAACTGCAAAGTCGAGATTTTAGGCATGTTTCGACAGTATTTCTATTATCGTGAATGAAGAACTTGTTAATGCTCAGAAAAAGAGCTCTTTCAGCGTTTTAATCTAATGGGAGATTTTGACAGAGTTGAATGTTAATCGAATTTTTTAAAGTATGATTGAAAATTTTTTTTCTCATATAATTTAATTTAGATAAAAATGTGTCTTGCGCATTCAAATATCGATGATCATTTACGTATCATTAGTAATGATTTCATCGACAAACTTTTACAAAAAGAAACATATAACGGTAAGAATAGAAGAACTTTTATATTTCGATTTCGAAATGTTTTGTAATTTTATTAAATTTTTTCAGTCTCGTTGGAGAAGCACAATTTTTTGCATTATGATTATATGGCTTTTTCTGCTCTTCAACGATATTACTTTGATAAAGCTGCTGATATTCACGTATTCCATGATCATGATGATTTTTTACAAGCACTTCCTATTAAAGAATTATCCTTCAGTGACGACGAAATGCACGTACAAAACAAAAACAAAGATAATGACGATGAATATATTCAACCATTTCATTTAATATCAGATAAAATCATATTATAATCAACTTTGAATCTAAATGAACGTTTTTTTTTTTTGTTATTTGTCTTTTTTATGCATTTAGTATAGGTGAAGTTTTTCTGCTAGTTCATATATCTCTGGAGAATTATCAATGATCATTCTAAAAGCTTAAATTAGAGAAAACTAAATGTATTGTCTTCGATTATTTCCATTATTCTGTTCTCATAATAGATTATCACGTTGTCTGGCAAATCATTTCATTTATGAAATGTGAACAAAGAGGGACAGGAATTATTTCATTATGAATTTATCTACATACCGATATATCATAGGTTAGATTTTTAAACTGAAATAATTACATGGTAACAGTCGATTTGTAGTCTGTAGTATCTTTTCTGCGTGATTAACATTTGTACTGGATACTAATTCTGCTTCATTATTTAATCTAGCATCTATTAGGAAAAATGGATAACTTAATATATTTGAATAAGTTTGATTTTTTTTCTAAAATTATAAATATATTTATTTAATCTAAATCTAATAAAAACCAGCACCTAATCCGAGGTCCTCCAGTTGAATCCATCCCAATCCGAAAAATCTGATTTGTTTATTTATGCTAGATTAGCAATTTAATAAAACGAACTTGAATAACAATAATCAAGAAGATAAGTTAGGCGAGACTAATCTTATATTTTTGTTTTATTCGACAACGAACTCATTAGAAAATAAGCACGTCGTTTTTCATTACTTTATTACAAAATTAAAAGTCAAGAAGATTCAACAAATGGAAATAAATGATACAATATTAAAATCCTTTTAGTCACTACTTAAGCATTGAAAAATATCCAATAAGATAAGAGGAATGAAGAACATGAAGCAAATTTTGTCCAGATAGAAGACGAATATATATATAAAAACAAATGAATTCAAAGAAAAAAGAGCAAAAGTAATAGTGAAATCAATTATAAAGAAACAGTGGAAAAGATTAAAATATATTAAACTATACGAAGAATGAAAATAAAAAAACAGAATTCAATGTGACAACAGAAGGACTACATAACAATTGGGACTATAACAATTTTGATCTCTATTCTTAAATTTGATTCTTGAGAATTGTAGACATATGATGAAAGTGATTATTGGTTGAACAAAAGATACTTAATATATTTATTGATTAATCAAAACTAATGTCAATATTATCTCAACATAAATCAATAACTTTTCGTTATTTTTTCATTTTGAAAAATTTCTATTGAACAAAAAAGAAATTGAAATTCTGAGATATTTAAGGTACCGGTAATGCAAATTTACAATACCTATCATTGTTAGCGATAAAATTACATCAATAGATTCATTTTTCTATGCTGATCACGAATATCTAACTTAGTTTTTCGATTTAATAAAATTTTCATGAAGAAAAACGCGAAATTACTGAGAGCATCTAAAAATCAGTAAAAAAATTAGTTAGGGAAACGCAACGTCGATTTCTTTGTTGTTCGACTTTTCATTCTCACCAATATGATTTTCGAATTCCTTATATAAAAATGACTCTAGAAACGTTATCTAAACGTTTATCGCATATTACATGTGCAATCTAAAAAGTGATGCTACGGTGTCACTTCATGTGTACTGCATAATTTTGCAAACCTATCTAGTTTTTTTTCTGTCGATAGATAAAGTATTCATTCATATGTCAGTTGAAGCGTCATTTGACGAACAGTAAAAATATGGCTCGGTTTTTTCTACATTTCTTTCGTGTGCAGAGAAAATGGACGTGTAATATGAAACCGTCAAAATCGGCTCGGATTTGGCTGTTTTCATCATCAAAATTTCACTTGAGAGAAAAATAAAGGAAATATTTGAAATCATCACGAAAAGTTGTGTTGAATAACATAAGCTTTAGTGAAAAATGAATTTCATAGCCTTGTGAAGTCTCATGAAGTCTTCTGGATTTTTTGACAGATGTTTAGTGCACGAAAAATTCATAAGAAAATCAATGAAATAGTAAGGTTTTTGATGATCTTATTGTAGCAGAAATGTGAACTTTTATTGTTGTGTCAATCTGCTTGAAAAGTTCGTACTCGTTTGAACTTCAAAAAAAAAGTTAATAATTCAATTCTTTTTGATGAAGTTATTTATTTCCATAAGACGTGTTCTATCAATTCGATATCAATTTTATGAAGCATTTGAATCGTTTTTGTTTGTTTCTATCATTCGTGAAAGTCTATCGGCCGATAAACGGCTAGCTTTAGTGATCAATAACCAACAAGTCGTTTGCTTATATATATATTTAGGCTTGTTATTTATATGCACCTGAAGGATGAGGGTGTGGGTGGATCTGGTTCTGGTTCTGAATGTAAAGAACAATAAGTTCTACACGGTAGCGAGACGAGCACGCACATTGCACACGAACATCCACACGAACATCCACACCCATACTTCACCGAAACCCCAATAGTCTATCGTGGTTGTGTTTGTAGTTGAGTATGGTGGATCTGTTGGTTCATATCCACAGCCACTATCATTTTTTGAGATGATCGATTGGCTATCAGCATTCTACCGATGTTTTTCTCAATGAAGCCTGATACGAAATATGTCCTGGTGGTGGAAGTTAAAGCTACAAAATCCTCGTAAGTCGATCTGATTCATGCATATGAAATCTTTTTGAATAGTATCAGCTTATTTAGTCATTAGTGATTGATAATAAGCGAAAATAACTGAACAGAAAATCCGTGAGTCCATTAGTGATGGTGCGCTCACTAAGAAATGATACAATCTGCTTCTTGCATGGCTCAAATCAGTTGCCGCTGTGGATTGAATCGATCAGCAAATCGATTCATTTGTGCAAAATAATTGTTTATCATCCATTGGCATTTGTATGTCATGATACTTTTCACTTATCGTGCTCGACCAGCCACAACCAGTGATTGAATCACGAAGAGTCGGTGTTGCACTTGGTCAATCTCGTAGAATTCGTTACTTGAGTTTCCACACAAAGCATCGCTTTCGAAGAAGACCTTATCTTTAAACTCATCTGGACTCAATCTCAGAGGGTGTGGGTGTGGGTGTGAGTGTGGGTGTGGGTGTGGATGTGGATGTGGGTGTGGGTGTGGGTATGGGTGTGAGGTGTGGGTGTGGGTGGGTGTGGGTGTGGGTGTGGGTGTAGGTGTGAATGTGGGGCGTGGGTGGGTGCGGATGGTTGTGTAGGCTTCAATTGTACGAATCCATACCCCACATTGTTATTCACTCTCACCCACACCCACACTCAAACCCATACTCACATTCCACACCCACACTCACGCCCACAACCACACCCCATCTACACACACCCACACCCCACACCCACTGCCACACCCCACCTACACACACCCACACCCCATACCCACAGCCACACTCCGCCCATACCCTCTAAATTTCATGATTCGTATAGATCGCGTCAATGAAAGGACAATATTTATTTGACACCAAAAGATTTAAACAAAACGAAATTGTTTCATAGTTGAAATGTGTCTGTATTCATCAAATGGATATAAGTCAGCATTCTTTACGATTCCGGTACTACTCTATTATCAACCATTCTTAATAGTCGCCATCGTTCGAAGTGAATCGTGAACAACACATGAATCAATTGTCGACGAAATCGTTCGGATGCACAAATATAGATAAAAAATGGGCTCTAAAAATGTATAGAAATATTTTTTTTTTCAACAGAAAAATGATTTGTAATGTTGTTTGATCTATTCATGGCTTACCCCAAAGTTAATATAATATAATAAGACAGTTATAGTGGCAGTAAACTGTATTTTTGTTGCGATAACAGGATCATTCATGAGACTCGTGCTCAGTGTAAAAGCCACTAAAATGACGTATGGCAAAACAGTAAAAGCATTGACAATAACTTGTACAAGGACCATCACTGTCAATTGTTTGTCGAGTTCACGTCGAACAAGAGGCAATGTTCGATAAGCCAGTCGTCGCACATTATAATATGCCAAGGATCCAAACAAGATTGTAATGACAACAGGAAGAACACCTGTAAGGACAAGAGTGACAAAATAAGTACGATATTGTAAAAAGATATTGTTTTGAGATGCACAAGTGACTTTGCCTGTAGTAGGCGAAAGATTTTGATTGAAAAAGATCAAATATGAAATTCCATGTAGAATCCATATGATACTAGACACTGCCATTAGACGATGAGCCACGTGAATATTACTCCATTGTTGCCAGCGAGGACGAAAACAAGTTGCAAAGTATTGATCGATTGTCGCCAAGATAATACTTGTAAATGAGATTAACGCAGCTATTGGAAAAATGAAATATCGTAATTTACAGAAGATTAATGAAGTTTGTGTCCAATCAATACCAAAGCCGGTGATCATTATACGAGCTAAGAGGCCCGTTATTAACTGGCCAACATTGACAATTGACATGATTGTTAAATAGAATGCACATGAACTTTGTCGAAACGTTCGAAGACTTAGAAATACAATGACATTGAGAAGTCCTCCAAGTGTACCGACAATGAGTAGAGGAATACCAAAATAAATGCACATTTTTTGAGCAATAAATGCAAGAGATTCAGCAAGTGATGTTGACATTTCGATTCGATGATTTCAAATCTAATACATAATTTTATCTACAATATTCATTCTCATTCATACAAAATAATTCCCGCATAGGTATTGTAACCATGAGACAATTTTCATTGGTAAATCCATTCGAAAAAGATCGTTGTTTCAACATGGAGAACAACGAGATTCTATGCATCAAAACAACGTTCAAGCTTAGAATAAATGTGTCAATATCAGTTTCACTCTAAATTATATAAGAGCGATGCTCAACTTAAAGGATCAAACATGCGTTAAAGGTATTTTTTCGAACGGATTTCAGTTCCTCAACTATCTCGTGTTCTTAAATTCAAAGTTTTTTCTCAAACAACTCCTGTGGTCTATGAAAAAGGCTACGATACGCTAAGAACTTATTCAAAATGAAAAAAAAAGGGCGAGAGTCTGAGAGTGATTACTTATGAGCAAATGTTC